CTGGGCAAAATTAGAATTCCAATTTTGACTGGGCAAATTTAGAATTTAACCAGATTCCAATTTTGACCGTAACATATACAGGGTGTAAAAAAACCATTACGCCCCCCTTCCAGACCTAAAGACCAAATAGTACCCCCAACAATTTTATACCAAATGAAAGCCCGCAAAAAGTTACGTCTAGTGGTATAGCCAGAACAAATATAGTTTGTAATATTATAACGATTCTAGGCTCAATACATCATTTTCACTTATATATCACAATCTCGAGTACGTCAAAAGCCGTTGTGCTCAACAGTAACTTAAGTTGTGAATCATTAATTATTCAGTTTATTGATAATATTGAATACTAAAAAATGCTTTTTCGAAAGTTTCAGAACTTCGTATGACCCCCATCAGCAGCCTTGAGAGCATCAAATCTTTTTCGCATCGAGCATAACAAGTCAATAAAAAGATCTGTATCATTTTCAAGATCTTTGAGCGTATTCTCCAAATTCGTTTTCAGTGCATCGTAATTGTATCTGCTACGACGATCTTCATTTGCCATTAGTTCCTCAACTTTATCTTTAATAATTGCACCAATATTTTCTGCAGGATTCATGTCAGGACTATTGCCTGGCCAAATTGAATTTCCCCAGAAATTCACATTCTCATCTTCTAAAAGATGTTGTGTTGCATTCGCTTTCATACAAGGTGCCTTGTCGTGAAGAAATATCACTTCGTTCGTATCGAGAACATTGGACGAATCACGAAGAAATGGGATCACCTGTTGTCGAAGGATAGTGTCACGAAAATAAGCACCATCCCAAGACTGTCCATGTTCTTTTAGCACCCAAAGTAGTTTTTTTTGCAGTAAACATGACGAAAACCCCAATACATGTTGCATTGTAAACCATCTCTCGGTATCTTTCATCATCACTGATGTCTTCAATACTTCTTGCCCAAATTCGATCATTTTGATGGTTTGGTTTTCTTACAACATAAATGTAAAATTCATCCGAAGGTGCAACATGTAGAAAATCTTCTTCAGTCCAATCAGTAAGAAAATTTGCTAGCCACTTGCGATCTTCGATATGTGTATTTGTCTTCAGTGGCTTGGCAATCACATGGAAAGCTTTTAATCCTTGCCGATGGCGTCCATTGTAAATAGTCATGTGACTCACCCGCTGTTTTGTTTTCTCTAAAATCTCTCTTGCAACTTTTCGACAGCTACTGCTTTTGACACCACTTGCAGAAGAGATAATGTTTCTGCTCTCCTGATTAAGCACCTGGGGTCGACCACTGCCAAATTGTGTATAACATTCTTCGATAGATTTATTCCAATTTCGTCGTACCCAATCTTCACTGCGACGTAGCTTCTCGGAAATCCAAGGGCGAGTAATAATTGAGTCTCCTGTTCTTGCAATCAGTTCGTCACGTATTTCACGATATGTGACACATCGAATTCTGTCAACGAATCGTTGCTCTTCCGAATCATGAAGCAGATTAGCCATTTTGGTTTTTCAATTAATGTACCATAGAATTTTTTATTAACTAATCAGCAAATTGTTCAACGTCTAACGTGAATAAAAATTACTTGCGCGGACAACAGATACTCAGAAAGAAAATCAATGAAAAAAGTTGAAAATATTTCGACACTCGACCATTTTCTTTTCTGTATTCTCTTCTTATCTGTTCGTGCATAAATGTGCATATAACTTTCTTTTTTTCTGTTCCTTCTTCTCGTTATCAGTCATCAATAGTAAGGCTTTTGATAATTCACACTAAACATTACTCAACTCGCTCACGTGCTTTGTGATACTCAAATATAACATTAGAAAACGAAAATTTGGCAAAATGCGTGACATATTGGTCTACGATATCGTACATTTAATAAAAACTTGGAGCCATGAAAACTACGATCTATTAATACGTAATTCGAAAGTGAAGAAAGATAACTTGTATCATTTGAATTGATATGAGACTGTGATACATAAGTGAAAATGATGTATTGAGCCTAGAATCGTTATAATATTACAAACTATATTTGTTCTGACTATACCACTAGACGTAACTTTTTGCGGGCTTTCATTTGGTATAAAATTGTTGGGGGTACTATTTGGTCTTTAGGTCTGGAAGGGGGGGCGTAATGGTTTTTTTACACCCTGTATATATATGTTTCGCTATGTCAGACTTTGATCCTCATATTATTTCAAAGAAAAATACCACATTTATCAATGACTTGATGTTGATTTTCTTACCATTTCGTATTTACAAAAGAATCAAAAGGAAATTTCTCTGGGTAGATGTTTTTATGCTAAACCACGTTTATTCATCATGTACAAACGAACTATCAGTTGGAGAAAAATATACAGTGCTTCAACTCTGTGTGGAAAGTTTCAAATATTTTCCATATCCCTCAATCCGTTATGAAAATTTTTCTTTTCCTTTCATCGATCCACTGTTGTGTTATGGACAAATGACGTGGTTGTCTGTCATCGCGTAACAGATAATGCCATTATGATATATTTTATGGGGAAAAAAAAAATCTTACTCGATGATACTAACATCAAAGTTAATCATACTCTCGCCATTTTGCTGTTTTGATTCTTCTCTATTCCAAGAAGAGAGATCCATCAGATAGACGAAATGATGTGGATAAATTTCTTTTTATACATCTTCGATCTATTCTCTTTCTATCTAAAACTGTGTGTTTATTCATTTTCATTGTATGTTATTCCATTCTTTGTACGATCGTTTAATACAATAATTCGAAGTAGAGCAAAGTCACTCATTTTCGTATTCAAGAATAAAATTACAAATCAAACTATTTGTACATCAATTTTTCTACATCGAACGTAAATTTTTAATGAACAATCAAGTATGATACAACTTAAACTCGAACCAATTAAAGTCGAGCCCGTCTTCAACTCAGATCTGACTGTAAAGCTTTATTGTAAACAGATCTACAATTGAAGAAATATGTATTATCTTGAGATTTGAGCAAATATTAATTAATGAAAACAAATTTTATGTAGTATAATTTTAAATAATTTATCTTTATTTTAATATATTTACGGGAATATTCGATTTTAAACAATCATTTTCAACATTCACTGATAACTAATAATAGATGTTACAACAGAAAAGACAAACAAGAAAAAATAGAGAATAGTAATGAAATATTTAAATGTATGTGACATATATATTATAATTTAGTTTTTATATAAGGTGCCGGCAGTGCAAAATTCAAGTAAAAATTTTTTTTTGCCTTTTTTTTACATCGTCTGATAGAGCTTGAGCTGCTGATCACGAATATCTACTTTTTAGCCTTAGTGAATGCTTTCTTCCGGTCGAAAAATACGAAATACTCGAAGGATGTCATTTTCTTCAAAAAACACATATTATCCAAAATGTGCGAAATTTTCTGCTTCGTTCTTTTTTCAGCTTCTGAAAACAATTTTTTCAGATTCAGCATCAAAAACTGAGTACAGACAAATTGTTAAATCGACTCTAGATGCAAAACTATATTGATGGTGGCGCTTCGAATTGTGTCGACTATGATGGGTATAGGTCGATTTTGTAAAGCTGTGTTGTTTCTCTACGTAAACGATGGAGTCAATTATTTTATCTCATTCCCTTCATCATACCATTTGTCATCAAATTACACATCCTTTTTTTTACTTTTCTTTCCTTCATGGAGAAAAATCGTTTTTACTGTATGATACGAAAAAGGGGGAGGTCATTTTTGCATAAAATGTTTGTTTTTCACTCAAATCAAGTAAGAATTTGTTCACATAGGTAAAAACTGATGACGAATCTAGTGGACACAGTTTCAAGGTCTTTATGAGATCTTCAGAAGGTCTCTGGAAAACTTTTCCTTGAAAAACCATAGTTTTGTTGTTCTGGTTAGGATTTAATCTTTTTAATGCAGAAACTGATTAGTTTTTCATGTTTAATCACTGGTTTACATGCTTGGCTATATAATATAAAGGGATACATGCAGAACAAAAATGTTAAAATAGGAAAAGATTTTCGTTAATCTTCGTCTATGTTTGTGTTTGTTATTTTACGATGTGATTGAACTGCTGTTTTGCAAAGTTGACTGAAAAATAGTTTTAATACATCAGCATACGTCTGACCTTGAAAATATGCTTCGATTGAACGCCAAAAACGTCGAAATAATTTTAATGCAATTTTCCGTTCGACAAAATGTATACGCGAATCTGATATTAATTTTATCATTTTTTCAAAGCTTTGATCAGTACGTGAACGAACAAACGCTTTTT